TTGGCCGCAGCCCCGAAATCTCCATGAGCTGCGAAGCTTTCTGGGTATCTGCACCTACTACCGTCGATTTGTCCCAAATTTTGCCAACATCGCCGCCTGTCTACACCGCTTGACGCAAAAAGGCCAGAGGTTTCAGTGGGGCAACGACCAAGAAGAGACATTCAGAAAGCTCAAAGACATGCTATGTAGAGCCCCCATTTTGGCATACCCTATACCTGGTGGCAAGTTTGCTCTGGACACAGACGCAAGTGCGTGCGGCATCGGTGGCGTCCTTTCCCAGGAAATCGACGGACAGGAAAAAGTCATCGGGTACTACAGCCGGACATTGTCGAAGCCTGAGAGGAATTACTGTGTGACGAGGAGAGAGCTGCTTGCTGTCCTTGAGAGCGTTAAACACTACCACAAATACCTATATGGCCAGCATTTTCTGCTGAGGACCGACCACGCTGCTCTCCAATGGTTGCTGCAGTTTAAGAATCCGGAAGGTCAACTAGCCCGTTGGATTGAGAGGCGCCAGAGTTATGACTTCAGAATCGAGCACAGAAAAGGCGGAAAACACGGTAATGCTGATGCCCTGTCTCGTCGGCCATGCAAGGTAGAATGCAGGCATTGCTCAAAGGCTGAGTGTAAAGAGAATATCGTTGATGTCCGACTATTGTAGTTTGAGTCGGGTGAAGATTGCTCGACGGAACAACGAGGGGATCCCATTCTGGGCAAAATAATTTCGGCCATAGAAACGGGCAAGCGACCTAGTCGCAAAGAAATTACCTCCGAAAGCCCTCTTTTAAAATCCTATTGGGCCCAGTGGGGCAGTCTACTTATAATAGATGGTTGCTTATATCGCAAATGGGAAAGTGAGGACGGTAAATCTCACCGGAACTTGATCGTCGTCCCAGACTCCAAAATAAGAGATATCTTGTCGGAGTTTCACGATGGGCCAAGTGGAGGACATCTTGGCATAGCAAAAGGTAAAGCAGAGATTCTACTGGGTCGGCTGTCAAAAATCCATTGCCGACTGGATTGCCAATTGTGAAAGGTGCATAAGAGCTAAAGGTCCAACACGGAAGAGTCGAGGCTACATGCAGCAGTATAATTCAGGAGCCCCTTTTGAAAGAATCGCAATGGATGTAGCTGGACCGTTCCCAATAAGCGACTCTGGGAACCGGTATGTCTTAGTGGTCATGGATTACTTCAGCAAATGGCCAGAGGTTTATGCTATCCCAAATCAAGAAGCCAGGACAATTGTGGATGTGTTCAGCAAAAATTGGATTTGTCGCTATGGTGTTTCATCTGAGGTTCATTCCGATCAAGGTAGGAATTTTGAATCAGCGATCTTCAAGGAAATGTGCGACTCCTACGGAATCAAGAAAACCAGAACGACGCCCCTACATCCACAATCAGATGTCATGGTGGAAAGATTCAATCGCACCCTGGAAGAACGTCTACGGAAAGTGGTGGACAGTGGCCAACTAGACTGGTATGAGCATATTCCAAAGTTTTTACTGGCTTATAGATCAGCCATTCATGATTCCACATCACGGACCCCAGACAATTTTCTGTTCGGAAATGAATTAAAGCTACCTGGCGATTTGATATTCGGGTCTACCCCAAACGACGATGTAAACCAAGATGAAGACAGTCAAAACTCTTTTAGTAAAGTCCACGATGCAGTTCGCCATCGAATAAAAATGGTTAGCAACCGCATGAAGGCAAGGTACGATCGAGCGGCAAATACCGATGGGTTTCAAGAAGGGCAACTGGTACTATTGTTCAACCCACAACGAAAGAAAGGACTATGCCCCAAATTGCAAACGCACTGGAAAGGACCCTACAAGATTGTCACGAAAATAAATGATGTGGTTTATCGCATCCAGAGGAGCGACAGTCCCAGGTCGAAGATGAAAGTTGTACATTTGGAGCGGCTGGTCCCCTACGGAACGGGAACTGTGCCTATTCGGGACGAACAGGCTTAAGCGGGGGGCAATGTTACGAATATAACTTTAGATTTAAGTTAATTTAGATGAATTCCGTTAATTTAAGAATTTGAATTGTAACGTAAATTTCTACTACGCAGTTTATTCGAATAACTTCACAACAACAACTACTGTATAGATTTTTCTACATCCTTCCATTTCCGTAAAGTAAAGTGCAAAGTAAAGTTGTGTCAATAAAATCATTGTAATAATCGTAATCAGAAAGAACCCGCGTTTTATTTAGTACGAACTGTATTGGGAAATAAAACAACGTCTACACGGGATTAAGTAAAATCCAAGAACGTAACAATGTCACAAAAAGGAAAGGACTCACACAGATTTCTACTTACCTTCCTAAAATGTATGCTGCTGATTATTGAAGTTGTTTCTTCAAAGCAAAACTCTACAAAAAACAACTACAGGAACTGTACTGTGATATTATTCCTTCCAGCTCCTCAAAATCAATGTTGGCACCGTCGCGATCTTTTAACACAAATTCTCTGCCTTCTATATTAAGATTCAGCTTGTTTACAATGCCTTCTTTCTAACTTTGTTTGTAAACAAAACAAGTAAACTCATGAGAGAGACACAACTTAACAGCTGTTTTTAATACCTTACAAGGTGTTGTTTTTAAACATTAAGGAATAAAATTTTTCTATGTAAACAAAACAAGTAAACTCACGAGAGAGAGAGAGAGACATTGCACATCGAATTCATGTAGAAATTACGCACTTTGACAGTTAAGGACTAAGCTGAATGCTCGCGTTAACGCACGCAAAAAGTTAAAATATATTTAACTTCGGAGCGCAGCGCACAATAACTTCAAGCGTTAGTGTTATCGTTTCCTTGTTGTATTTTCGATAACATATAACGCGACGGATGGCTCAACGCGAGCATTCTGCTTAACCCTTTAAGGGCTAAGCAGAATGCTCGAAAATGCAACAACCACAAGGAAACGATATGCGTTTGTGTTATCGTTTCCCTGTGGTTGTTTTATTTTCGATAACATATAACGCGATGGATGGCTCAACGCGAGCATTCTGCTTAGCCCTTTAATCGAGACATCAGCTGCGCTAAATGGGGACTACCTATCTATTGTGCCATGGTCGAGATAAATGTATTTGTTTTGATAGATAGAATCTCTAGCTGTGTTCCCAAACTTGCAATATAGTACTAGTTTTGCAGTTTTTGCTAGAAAAGCGTTCCCTTACTCCAAAAACTAGGAAACATTTAAGTTAAATTTAAGAGAGTTGAAATCAAAATGGCGTTCTCTTCTCCTATTTTCTGCAAGACCAATTTGGCCTAGTACGAAATAGTAAATGTAGTAAATTATGAATTTGACAATTCATTTCCAGAGCTATACAGTTCGAAATAAACGATATGCACGTTAGCGCTTCAACAAACAAGACACACGCACACACACACACATATTCGCTTAAAAAAACAAAAGAATTAAGAATGAAGAAGCAGTTCTTTATTCACTTTTGGAGGATTCATCTATCGAAGATGAATAGCGTGCAGAAGATTCAGATGAAATTTTTTACTCAGAAATTGTAAAATGGACGCCTTTTAACTTATATGTTTCTTTGTGTGCATTAGGTTTCTGTAGTCCGTTTTTTGTCATTAACTGATGAAATTTTTAATTTTGACGTTTCTTCATGTTTTCACTATTTTTCGTTCCTATACTTTTTGCGCAAATCTTGTATGTGAGAGCCATTTTTGATAGTTCGCTCTTTTACTAGCTTTACTATCAAAAAGTACGGGAACGAACCTTCTATCTTCATAGTGGTGCTTTACACCTACGAATCATGACTACGAATCGTACTTTTTCCTTCACAAAAGTTACGAATATACATGAATGTATTAAAACATTTGTAAATACTTTTCGCTCATTTGCTGAAGTCCCTCTTTCCCATATAAAGTGTTAGTAAATTAAAAACTTAAAACGCATTTTCTGCAAAATCGTTTTTTAGTTATGCCTGTCTTGCACCAAATGAAGGATATATGCTTAAACAAGGCATAATTATGGAAGGTAGCCTCATTGGAGGAATTGATAATTTCAATTTCAAATAAATTGCATAAAATTTTATGAATGTCGATTGGCATAAATTTAACTAATTAAAAATTTGTATTTTCTAACTTATTTGTACATGTTTTAGAGCAATTGAGCACATGCTTTGCATACCTTTTTTCATTATATTTATAAAGGGGGAAAACATACGATGATTCAGGCTTGGCATGTTAAGTTGGCTTTGTATGACATGTCAATTTATAAAGGAATATCAGAGACAAACTAGAATTTGGACGCCACCCACCCTTATTCTTTTACAATATAAGAAAGCAATTGAACATGACATTCTAGATGTCCTCTTAAGTGTTTCCCTCTTAAATTTATGAAAAAATTGCAAAAATGAGACTACCTTGTGTAATTTTGACATGATGCTTAAATTATAATATCTATTATATATATTCTTAATGCAAATAATACGTATACATATTGGCCAATATTTCTCGATAATAATGATTTATTATCATTTGATGTAAAATTAAACGTATCATTCCGTACTCTGTGTTCCTAACTGCGGTAATAGTACATTTACGTTGTACCGGATTTCGTTAACCCAGTGGGTTTCAATTGTCAATTCCATTGTATAAATGACATTTAAATCCTCATAGAGTAGGTTAACCCAGTAAAAAGTTCTAAGGTAAATGCCGTTTAATGTTTTCCAACCTTGCACTCAATTGGCTAATGAAAGAGAACAAATTCTCGAGATTCGTGTTTATGATTCGTAAATGTAAAGTACCACATAGAATCTTTTCAATACAAAAAGTCGACTTACATATCCCTTTCCATAAAACATTAGTTATATCACATGCCTCAAGCCAAAAGTATTTATGTCATGATGAATTCTCGTATTCGGGTTTTTAATGTAAGAATTTTAATTATATGTAGCTCATAATAATTTACCTACACATTTTTAGAATATTAGCAGATGTCATTCCCCTTCGAAGGCACCACAACGATACATGCAAAAACCTGAACCAAATGAAATTCAACATGACTACATAGGCCCCCCCGATAAAGATTCAAATATTCGTCCTTTCGTGCGATGTATCCGACCAGGAGAAACTAGTACTGAGAGGATATTAAGAATGAAACGTATTGAAGTTGAAGAATGGAATCATTCGTTTTGGGCACGGCATAATAAGCGATTCTACGAAGTAAGTATGCATTTTTTATTACATGTAGTACTCGAGCAAGTATGGGCCTTTGTATTAAATCTGCAACTCATCGAAAGTATCCGTGCGCACCAACGAGCTTGACAGGCATTTACTAGCAGAACAGACACTTCAGCCTTGAGGCTGCTTGTAATGGATATGTTATTTAAATTGAATTGGAAGAGTTTTCTTCACAAAAAAATTATTTTCTGGTATGAAACAAAGTGCGTCATAATGCGTCTAATTCGATCATTGGAATTAAACGATTCCAATGAAAACTCTCAGTACAAAGAAGAGACACTATAGTTCAACTTATTACATTTTGTCAGCATAGATGGAATAACATGGGGTATGGTATGGGCGTAACAAGAGACACAAATTTTTTTTAGTAGCATAGGGATCAGGAAATTTTTTAGCCCAACGCTTATAAAACCACAAAAAAACACACACAATTTGCTTTATTAATTGGCCATTCAAAGACAATTTAGGATCCTTCAAAAGTCCACGGTCTACAAATGATTCATCATTAGCGTTTATTTTATATTGGGTACACTGAGTGCACTTTACGGACACCTCTCAGATCATTTTGAAATTTTTATCATAGGTAGACCTTCTGATGCTGATCTAAAATGACACAATTTTGTTACCTTATATATTATCGCCTTAGTTACTTTCAACTTTCACTAAGAAGATACGTTTAAGATGTGACGAATGCGTGTTTTGCGTGTGTTGTTTCCAACAACGACGTCTGGGGAAAGTTTAGATGGCACATATCTGTAAAAATTATTGTTTTTATTTCAAATTAACATAAAAGTAAGCTGACTTGCCTCTTATTATACTATATGTGTGTTGAGTTTCCTGAATATTGGTCCAGATTTAGATATAGCTCCCATATACATTTTCGTCCGATTTGGTGCACTAAAGTCAATTTATATCTTTCGATTTGCACGTCATAGCGTAATGAATTAGGTCTAGAATGATGTGTGTTAAGTTTCGTGAAAATCGGTTCAGATTCAGATATAGCTGCTATATATTTTTTCTTCCGATTTTATGTAAATTGTACTCTAAAGACCCACTGTTTGTCCGATTGCCACATAATTTGGTACAATGAACTGAAGTTAATATATATTAATCTCTGACAAGTATCATTGAAATCGGTTTAGATTTTGATATAGCTAATATCAGGGACGTACGTTGGATGCTTCTGAATTGACATCTTTCGAAAATCTGTAAGAAAATTACACAAGACTCGTCATATGCATTTTGTCGATTCTTGAATTTGTTTACCGTGAATATCTTGTAAGCTTGTTTATCGTGAATATATATTGTTTTTCAAAATAGGCTTAATCCCAGTTTGTTGTTTTTATAAAAAACAACTATTTATTAGTGGGGAATGTATGGCATTGTCCGCCGAGGGGTAAGGCAGGGAAGACTATAGTTTCGGATCTCGCCACTGATCCTCATCAGTTCCCTTAGTTTTTTGTTGGGATATTCTCCCCAGAAGCTATTAATAGCTTCTTTACAAAAAACCTTTCAAACCAAAATGTCTCTTGTGACAATTCGAAGTTCTTACGTTACCAGAGATACGACACCAATGAGAAGTTCGTTTCGTTGGCGCCTGACTTCGTGGTCGACAAGGCATTTACAGACAACTACAATACATTTCCCACTGCTATGTGTCGTCACTTTGTGACGAATGCACATAACGTTGTTGTTGGTATTACTAGTTAAAGCAATAAACCAAACAGTATGACCGTGCCTCGTCTACAACTTCAGCAGTGTTTGGCGGGTTATTTGGGATACCATTTGTATTTTGTTTTTGCAAAATAGTCAGGCTTAATCCCAGTTTGTTGTTTTTATAAAAAACAATTATTTATTAGTGGGGAATGTATTTATAGTGGGGAATTTTATAAAAACAACAAACTGGGATTAAGCCTGACTATTGTGCAAAAACAAAATACAAATGGTATTCCAAATAACCCGCCAAACACTAGTGAATATATTGTTACGAATATAACTTTAGATTTAAGTTAATTTAGATGAATTCCGTTAATTTAAGAATTTGAATTGTAACGTAAATTTCTACTACGCAGTTTATTTGAATAACTTCACAACAACAACCACTGTATAGATTTTTCTACATCCTTCCATTTCCTCTTTCATTTTCTATTTTGTTATTGTCGTACAATTCTTGTTAAACGTCATTCCTCTTTCTGTGTTATTCCCTCGCCTGTATATGTGTTGTTGTTACTCCTCTTTCTTTGTTATTCCCTCGCCTGTATATGTGTTGTTGTTATTGTAAGTTTGTTTACTCAAGTTTGTTGTTGTTATTGTTCACTCAGTAAGTTTGTTGTTGTTATTGTTACTCAATGTGTTTGTTGCATTGGTAGATTGTTCGTGATCTAGGTGTTACCAGATCGTCTAGAAACTTCTGTAGCGACAGGCAGGGCTCATATAAATAGAGGGAATGGAAAGGCAGTGAGTCAGTTGTGAATCAGATCGCGAATTGAAACCGTCGTGTAAAGTAAAGTGCAAAGTAAAATTGTGTGAATAAAATCATTGTAATAATCGTAATCAGAACGAACCCGCGTTTTATTTGGTACGAACTGTATCGGGAAATAAAACAACGTCTACACGGGAATAAGTGAAGTCCAAGAACGTAACAATTGGTGTCGGAAGTGAGATTACGATAATACTACGATGAAGTTTAAGGATCTACGAGTGGAAGACTTAAAGAAGGAGCTCAATAAATTGGAATTGTCCTCTACTGGCAACAAGGCTGAACTACAAAAACGTCTGTTGGATGAGTTCGAGCGCCGTGGTATGAACATCGATACATATGAGTTTTACAGTAAGGATGAAGTGGATTTATCGGAAATGGGCGAATCCAACGGTGGGGAAGTCTCGTCAGTAGCTGCCAGGGGTGACGATTTCAGAGAAATGCTGGCCAAAATGTTTGAGGAAAATTTCAGAAGGAGCGAAGAGAATTCCAGAAAGTTAGAAGAAAACACCAGACGAATGTTCGAAGAAAATTCGAGAATAACGAACGAGAAACTCGAGTACATAACAGAAGTTATTGGAAGGAGAGTGGAAACCGTGGAAGTCCAAATAAAAGAGTTGGATAAGAAAGTGCAGTCGGTTGACGAGAAATTTCTGGCCCACGACCAAAGGTTTACGAATCTGGAGAAGAAAATGTCGGAACTGGAAATCAAAGGTGGTCCGGTGCGAGTTCCTGATAACACACTAAAAATCAAACCTCCTGTATTCGACGGTTCTACGTCATTCAATGTTTTCAAGTTACAGTTCGAGACAGTGGCTTCTAGAAATTCGTGGAACGACATCGACAAAGCGGTTGCACTACTTCTGGCATTGAAGGGCAGTGCTGCTGATGTTATACAGAGTATCCCTGTCGCTTCTAGAAGCAACTATGAAGATGTTATTGCTGCACTGGAACGTAAGTACGGTGGCGAACATAAACAAAACATCTACCTTATGGAACTAAGGGGAAAAGTACAGAGGGCAAACGAGACGCTACAAGACTTTGCAGCTGAGGTGGAACGTTTGGTGCTAATGGCGTATCCAGGAGAGAATCACCCATTGCTGGACCGTATGAAAATCGAAACCTTTGTGAATGGCATACGTGACCCTGAGATTAAATGTGCAACATATGCGTCACCAAAAGCGTCGTTTGCCGAAACTGTGTCGTTTGCCCTTGCCCAAGAGACGGCAAGAATAATTGTTAAGCCCCAGACCCACAAGATTCGCCAACTGGAGACCGAAGGTTGCGAACCCAAATCTCTCGTTAACTCGATCAAGGACGCCATGAAGCAGGTAATAGAAGAAACAAAGTTAGTAGGGATGACTAAGCCCAGGGTTAGATGCTACAACTGCGATAAAGCAGGTCATATTGCGCGCGAATGCAGAGCTAAGCGCAAACGATCCAGGTCATCGTCACCACCTCCAACGAAAGATGGTAGACGAATGGCTCAACAGTCCACCAATGAGTCACCGTTAAACTAAATCGAGCCAGTCCAGCGGGGCATGAACTGGCTCCCATCGACGATGGCCCCACAATCTCCATAGCAATAGTGCAACAGAAAAGTCACAACCTAACAACAACTGGGTACATCAATGGTGACAAGCGAGTTCTGACGTTAGATACTGGCGCATCAAAGTCCATCATAAGATCAGATTTGGTAAAGGGAAACATAACGCAACTTAATGGAGTCAGACTGCGCACAGCAACGGGGGAGCCCGCGGCCGTACACGGCAAGATTACCCTGAGACTAACTATTGCCAATAAATCGGTGAATTACGATTTTATAGTTGCTGATATCGTAGACGAAGTGATAATAGGCGCAGATTGTATGATTGCCTTCGGTATCAATCTGGATCTGAAAGAGCGTGTGATGACCTGGTCTAACGTCGAAATTCCGTTAAACGTGGGCTATGATGAAATTACACCCATTAGACGTCTGACTACGGACCATCCAGAGATAATACCGCCCTGTGCCGAAGCAATAATATGGGTACCAATGAATGGAGATTGTGGAGCCGAGAAGTTGTGGGTGGTGGAACCAGTAGAAAACGTAAACAGTAACATCCTAATAGCGAATGCCCTGGTGAAAAGCAACAAGGACGGATTGATTCCTGTTAGAGTTTTGAACCTGTCAAACAAGCAAGAACAAATTTGCCAATTTTCCGATGTTGGACAATGCACACCAGCTGAAGCTGTAATTAATTTGGGAACTAGCACCGAAAAGCCAGCAGCCATGGAGAAGAAGCACCTCGACGGCTACATAAAAGAGTGGACACACCAACTATCACCTTCCGAGAGGAACAAGGCTAAGCAGCTATTATGGAAATATGCCTCTACCTTTGCGTTGACAAAAGAGCACCAAGGAAGAACATCAGTGGTGAAGCATGAAATCAATACAGCAGACGCGAGACCCATTAAACAGCCTCCAAGAAGTGTTCCCCTGGCAAAAAGAGACGAGGTTCAG